GTGTGATCCTAAAATTTATATTATATATGTATTGTTTATAAGTTGGGTCCGAAAAAATCATATCCAGCATTTTTGTCGCCTTCAAAAATAATTACCTATATTAATAAACTTTAAATTAATATTCTTATTATTCTATAAGTAAATAAGTTATGTTGAAGAGTTAGTTAGTAAACCTTCAGATAGAAAAATAAAAAAGCAGACTCAAAAAGCCAGAGATCAGGCTAAAAGATATTTTCAACAATTAGGATTAGATAAAAAGTAAACCGATACTCTTATTCCTATTTAAGTCTCTAAAAGATATGTTGATAAAAGAGATTCTATCAAAATTATTGTCAAGGTATTATAAAAAATAATTCTTACCTGAAGAGATAAATGAAATAGCATACAACTTGGCCTTTTCTGCTCTCACTACTGTTGCTAGAAATTTTCAGCTTAATTTATTATAAAAAGAGTTGCACAAACTTGGGACTGATTATCTTATCACTTAGGTAACAAAAATACTCTTGTTACTGAAGAAGCAAATCAGATTCAAGCAAGAAAACATATACTCCTTCTTAACCGAGGAGGGTTTGGTAATGATCTAGGAGGTATAAATTGTTACCTTTTGGCATCATTACTTAATATGATCACGTGCCCGATCTTTTTGTTTATAGTTCTTAAAGAAAATTCACATTTCGTCATATATATTCTGACCTCTTTTAACATTCTGTTTGATTAAAAATATATAGTCAAAGGCAAAGAAAAAGAAACAAAGGAAAAGGTGGCGTGGAGTGAAGAAGATGAGGTGAGCATTTTTCTCCAGTTGCCAAAGAGAACCACATATTTAATATTTCACCCTTCAATAACACAGACACATCGCCAGGCACTCATCAATTAATTGTGCTGAGGCATACGCTAAAGCCCGACAAGAAGTTCTCTCTATTCCGGGTACTTCAGTCATCGAAGACATCCAATATGCAATGTATCTTCTCTATGAACAATATAAGGCTGAAACCTGGCCCGAGAAATTCAAGCCAAAATACGATCTGTCGCTTGCAGAGTCTCCAACAAAGTAAGGTCAATTGTCTTTTTGTTTTGTCCTTTTACCTTTACCTTTAATTTTGCATATTTACTAGGGAAGCCTTAGTTGCGGCCAGAAAACTGGAAGAATTTTCAAACTTAACAACAGTTTTACATCAAGAGCTTAATTACGATTTTTATTGGGCCGTTAATGAAACCTCGAGAATTCTTTCGAAAGCTATAGGAGAAGAATATGATGATCTTGAAGAATGCGATAACTCTATGGAAGGTTTGTACAAAAAATCGCACGTCTATCAATTATAACATTAAAATAACATATTAAGGTCATTCTATCAACAAATTAGTCGAATAATAAGTCAATGGTTATTAAATTTCATTTGCAATAATATTATACGCCATCACTCGTCCATAACCAATCTCTTAAAAATATAAGAGCTATCTTCAACTTTAATTGCCTGTAATTTCCTTTTATAATAAACAGACATCGATCGCATCATCCGTTTTAAATTTAACTTCAATTTGTGTAATTTTTTAACCAGTGTATACCTATATGCAGTGTGTGTCTAGGTTTTTCATTACAATGAAGACGTCGTTATAAATGCGCAGTACAATATTCAGAAAATTTTTTGCCGAGATAATTATTGTGCGACAGAAAAATTCTATACATAAGCCACCTTATTCGTTCTAATTAAATACGCCTTCACGACGCAATATGAAGAAGTACTGGCGAAATTATTTGAGTCAAAATTTCCAGACAATACATATAGCAAGTGAAATTATCGGCGATAACCAAAATGGTGGCGGAGTCTGATCAAGATAATACAAACGAGACTACAGATTCTACTACATCAACACTCAAACGCCCCAACCCATTAGCTTCCAGTAATTCGCAATCTACTAAAAAAGTTAAAAAGAGTGACGAGAAGAAGGATGAGTCAAAGACTAGAAATGAAGTTTCCTCAAATATGGTAAAGAAGCTTATTGAGGAGTTATCCGTTGAAACGTCTCGGATATTGGAAATTAATGAAGAGAGTACTGGTAATTTCCACGATTTATATCTTGCAATCAATAGGGTCGAAGAACAAAGCGAACGTGTAAATCAACTCATACTATGAGCACTCGAGGATAGATACGATCATTACAAAAAAAGCAATCCAAAATTTACTGCCCAGGCATTAGTCGATAAAGAAGTTAGGCAACAATTCCCCAGCTCGGTTAGTGAGACCTTACTACGAAAGAGGAGAGAGCTCAGAAAATCTATGATTTATTTAGTGAAATTGGCGAGAGTATGATCCAACGGGTTAAATCTTTTACAGCATCGTCAATTTCAAAAATGAGTCGGATGATATTGATGCTATATTAGTTCATTTTCTCAGCACCAAAATACAAGCAAACGTCAAAAGCCATAATTTATGTAATAAACTCTAAAACAATTAATTAAAGCATTTATTTACTAGTTATTTATCTCAGTAACAAGTTTCCATTTCGTGATTCATAAGTGAATGTTAATTCGCATGTACAGTGTGGAACAAAAAATCTTCTAACTTGCCCAAATTTGGTTCAAATTGTATCATTTTTTTTAGAATAAATACATAACCAGGGCAAAAAATGATGATTGTTTTGTAACCAAACCACCCTTTTTTCTTAAGCTATATTTTTTCGAAATGCTGTCATCTCCTGTGAAAAGGCAACATGAAGCTTTGTTACATTTATGGAAAAATTATATACATAATGTCAAGGAACTACATACAAAAATAAAAGCCCTACTCTTCACAATATATGAACTTATCAAAAAAATTTAAAAAAACAAACCATTAGATCATGCAGGAGATAATGGTTATCCAAAAAAAATTACTAAGAAGGTAGCAATTTTGCTTGAGCAACACATACACAGTGATTCTACCATTTCGACAAGAACTTTGAAGATAAAGCTATTAAAAAAAAGTATAAATGTTTTTTACTGAACTATTGCAAAACATCTTAGTAATATTGGATATAAGAAAGATTTTTCAAAAGTAATGCTTATGCTTACCAAGATTCATAAACAAAAATATGTAAAGTGATCTTAAAAATATTGTAATAAATATTGAAATCAGATGTTATTTTCAAATAAAACAACTTTTCAGCTATTCAGAAATATTGTGAAATATTGGCATAAGGACATATAACCAATTTATCCAATGCCAAATAACTGAAAAAAAAAATTTTTTTTTAACAACTATCTCAAATAAAATATTATTGTTGCTATTCATTATAATCAGATAAAGTTCAGTCATAAGATATTCAATCCTAGACAAAAAGATTGAATACTGCACTACAAGTAAAGTTTATAAGAAAAAGTGAAGAATGTTAATCTTTATTTCTATTTATGATTGTGTATTTTACTATGTTAATATTGTTATTATATTTTGTTAATTTGTATCTTTTAGTTGTATAAAAAATATCACTTAACTTTTTATCATTAAGGAACTAATCATAATTCAATAGTACTTTCAGTTTGTCATCCAAGGTAACTTGTTTGAGGATAAAGAAAGTTGTTTTTAATTTTATAGTTTCTTTACTATCAAGAATTATATCTTCAAAAAGTGTACAGTATAATGTTGCTAACCAATTTATTTATGAGATCTTTAACAAAAGTTTTCTTTCAAAAGAAAATTTTTAAAAAATATATAATGAAGAAAAAAAGTTTTTTTTTAAGAACTGGAAAAAAATATTTGTATAAACCAATTTTTGTATAGTAAAAAAGCCAAGTTTATTTTGTTTTAAACAAATATAAATATGAAATTCTATATAGAAATACTTAAAAAACATATTTGAAATTAATCATATGTTTGAAATAAATAATATTTCTAGCAAAACAATAATTCCAAGCATACAAGTTATCTTATATAAGAATTTCTTAAAAATTATATTCCAGAAGTTATCAAGTAATTATTAAATAACTCAGATTTAAATTCTATTAAAAACTTATAAAGTATTATAAAAAATAAAATAAAGAAAAGAATATTAAAAAATCCTTGATAATTCAAAACAATTTATAATAAAAAAATAGAATAATATTTCAATAACTGTCTTAATAAACTTAATAAAATCAATAAAGTATTATTATAATCTACAGTACATTGCTGAAACTGCTCAATTTTTATAAACATTACTACTTAATTGCCACTTAATTGTTACTTAATAGTCAAATAATAATAACAAAGCAGTTACAGTAATGTTAATTACTATACTACTGCATTTTATGGCTATTAAATAACTATTATATTATTATTATATTGCTACCATATTGTTACTAAATCATTTTTATATTGCTAAATATGAATAGAAACTATATTATA